TTCCGTAGTGATACTGCCTCGGAAACCCAAGGAGGGGTCGCTATGAGTCGGGGCTGACTCGACGGCACATAACAACAACAACAACAACATATCTGGCAAGGGGCTTATCTCTAAGATTTATAGCAGAAGAGCAGATGACCAAACTATGGTACATACACATAATGAAATGCTATACAGCACTAAAGAATAATGTAGAGTCTGCAAAGCACCGCATAATATGATGAACTTAGAGGACATTATGCTGAGTGAAATAAGTCAATCACAGAAGGACAAATCAAGGAAAGGTTTATATATGGAGGGAAACTTTCTTTGTTGGTTGCCAAGGGTGGGCAAAAAAAAAAAATTGCATTGACCCATGTCACTTTAGTTTTGTGTATTTCACTGTACATAAATTATATTTCAGTAAAATGCATTGAAAAAAAAGGGAATTGTTCATAAAATTAGAAATCAACAATAGGAAGATCAAAAGGAAAAGAGCAAACATATGGAAACTGAACAACACCCTCCTTATAAGAATGACTGGGTCATAGAAGCAATAAATGAAATTTAAAAATTCCTTGAATCAAACGAGAATGAAAACACAACATACCAAAATCTTTGGGACACAGCAAAAGCAGTGATCAGAGGCCAATTTATAGCAATAAAGGCACACATCAAATAAGAAGAAAGAGGCAAAATGAACACTTTAAGCCAACATTTCCAACAATTAGAAAAAGAACATCAAGAAAATCCTGTCACCAGAAGAGAGGAAATAATAAAGATTTGAGCAGAAATCAATTAAACAGAAAATGGAAAGACAATAGAAAAATACAACTAGACGAGAAGTTAGTTTTTTGAAAAGATTAATAAAATTGACAAACCACTGCCAAATTTAATAAAAGAAAAGAGGGAGAGAATACAAACAACATGATTAAGAAACAAAACGGGTGACATCACAACAGAACAAAGTGAAATAAAAAGGATAATATCAGGATACTATGAAGAACTGTATTCCAACAAATTTGAAAATTTAGAAGAAATTGATAGATTTCTAGAAACACTACTTACCTAAACTAACACAGACTGAGGAGGAAAATTTGATCAGACCCATAACAAAAGAAGAAATTAAACAGGTCATCAAAAAATTACCAACAAAAAAAAGGCCTGTCCCAGATGGTTTCACCAGAGAATTCTATCAAACATTCAGAGAACTGACACCAATCCTACTCAAACTATTCCAAAACACAGAAAAGGATGAAATCCTCCCCTATTCATTTTATGAAGCAAGCATAACCTTGATACCAAAACCAGGCAAAGACATCACTAAAAAGGAAAACTACACACCAATATCCCTCATGAATATAGATTGAAAAATCTTCAACAAAATCCTAGCCAATAGACTCCAACAGCATATCAAAAAAATAATTCATTATGAGCAAGTGGGGTTCATATCAGGTATGCAAGAATGGTTCAACATTACAAAAACAATCAGCATTATCCACCACGTAAATAAAACAAATGAAAAGAACCACATGATCATATCAATCGATTCAGAAAAAGCATTTGATAAAAATCTAACACCTATTTCTGATAAAAATTCTCAGCAAACTAGGAACAGAAGGGATGTTCCTCAACATAATAAAGAGCATATATGCAAAACCAACAGCCAACATTATTCTCAATAGATAGGTAGAGACAAGTATTGATTTGAGTGAAGAGAAGGGCAATATACCAAATGTGGGTGGTCAACACAGTGGCATTGAGGAAGAAGAAGAGATAGAGAGGCACATGGGAGACAACAAAGATGAACCTTTCTGCACGTACAGTACTCCATTGTCAGTGAAGGCAAACATGGATATACGGGGAGATGGACAGGTGGACAGGCTGAACTACTAGGTATGTCTATGCAGGGGGGAGTGTGCCCAAGACCATGTATAGGGTTGGCAGACAATGTTTCTACAAGTGTATTTGTATGTTCTGTAAGAATTCCCAGGTGTATAGTAAAGCTGACAAGGGACAAGATTGTAGTCACTTCTTGGCCACAGCCAGCTACCCAGAGGGAGCGAGTAGTTGGACCTGTGGGCTCAGGACCATAGTCACAGGGGATGTCAAGCTCAATTGACATAACATACTACACAAAAACATTTTCCACCTCCTACTTTGGCAAGTAGCTACTGGGATCTTAAAACTTGCAAGCGGCCATCTCGATGCAACAATGTGTCTCTCCTCATCCACAGCAAAAAAGAATGGAAAAAACCCAAAGACACATGGAAACAATTAATCCAAGCAACTGCTACACCATGTGATCCTCAGCCTATATGACTATAAGACCAGAAGAAGTAGATGATGCCCAGCTACCACTGTCAACCACTCGAAGGGGGATCTATATAGGAGATCCTGGATAGAGAGGGAGAACAATGTGGAACAAAACTCAAAATCATTGGGGAAAAAAAAAAAAAGGACCAGGTTTGCTGGTCTGATAGAGCCTGATGGAACCACTGAGACTATGGCCCCTAGTTGCCCTTCAGATCTGGAATTGAACCCACTCTGTGGCTTCCAGCCAAACAAAAGACCAGCATATGAGCTGAACATTTACATTAGGTAGATCCACTCCTTGGCGAGATCAATCATGAGAGAATAGAAGGGCTGTGTATGCACAGGGAGACATCTCAGGGGGCAGGAGCACATGGGAGGGAAGGACACAGGGAAGAGGTTACTATGGGGGGGAAGTGGGAAGGGAGCTGCTGCATTGTGGGAAATGGTGGTCAATGTCATGAGACAAAGTATATGTGACCTGCCGTATGGAAAGTGAATTTACTCTGTAAACTTTCACCCAAATCACAATAAAAATTTTAAAAAGAAAAAGGGGGGGGTGGGTAATGCTTGAAATGTCTCTGGATATATTTTTCCCTTTATGACCACATAGCTTCATTCCTGTACTCCTTTGAGAATTCCTGCCCCTGGGAAGGGATAGAGCAAAAGCTGCCAAGGAAAGAAGTATGAGGTAAGGACAGTCTCTATTAGGATGGGGCGAGGAAGTCCTTCTGGTACTGGGAGTTAAGGTAAGAAGAAGAGAGAAAGAGAGAGATTTGGAATATCAGAGTTGTTGTTGTTGTTATGTGCCGTCGAGTCAGCCCTGACTCATAGCGACCCCTCCTTGGGTTTCCGAGGCAGTATCACTACGGAAGTAGGATTGCCCAACCTTCCTTCCGAGGAGTGGCTGGTGGGTTTGAACCACCAGCCTTCTGGTTAGCAGTCAAGTGCCTTAGCCACTATGCTACCAGAGCTCCTGGTCTATTTGCTAGTGAGTCTATTATCGGGTGGCTGATACCTCCTGGAGCTTGTTATCAGAGGGTGGCCCTTAATTCCCTACCTCCTCAGGGTTCAACCTGGAGGTTGGTGGGAAAGTTTAAGAGCTCCTGCTGTTTTACTTCCCTAAGGACCTCCTGGGGGCATTACAGGGCTCTCTGAGAAATTCCATGGTCAAGGAGGCTGTGTCCACCTCAGCAGGGAAGGGTGGAGCAGTGATGGTGCAGGAAGACATCTAAAATCTACATGGCTGAGCTGAGATATGGCTGGGGTCTGGAAATGGTATGAAAATGATCCAGAAGGTTCCATTACCCATATAAAGGGACAAGAGATCCACGGAAGCTGAACATGTCTGGGGTTGAGACAGAGAAGTTTCTGAGAGGCAACCATGTTATCAGAGGGACTTCAGCACACAGCCACCACAGAGAAGCCAACCTATCACTCAGATGCCAAACCTCAGCTTTGATCAGTGAGAAACAGCCCAAAGGCCTACAAGTGGCTCAGGGCCCCCTCTGGCCTCTCAGAGGAGGTGAGAGCTTTCCCCTGTGCCTCACAGCCCACCTTGGGAAGGAGAAGGGGGATAAATAGTGCTAATAAGATGTTTGTTTTTCATATTGAGCGTCCCAATATGCACTCTCTGCTAACCAAAAGGTTAGAGGTTCAAATCCACATAGAGGCTCCAGGAAGAAAGACCTGGTGATCGACCTCTGAAAACTCAGCTATTGAAAACCCTATGCCAGGGACGGTAATCAGGGAGTGCAACCAAATGTACACAAAATGTTGAATGTGAATCAAATTCTGCTCTGTAAATTTGCACCCAAAGCACAATTAAAAAAAAAAAGAAAATGAAAGCCCTATGGAGCAGAGTTCTACCACGACACACATGGGATTGCCATGAGTCAGAACTGACTCCACAGGAATTGGTATCAGTATTTTGTATTACCTCAGTTTCCAGGCACCTTCAGCCACACACACACACACACACACAAAAACGAAGAAGAAGAAAGAAAATGAAAAACTTTGAAACTGAAAGACGTCAAATTACTTGTGGTGACAACTTCAAATATTTTCATACCAGTAGAATAAGGGCTTCAGAGTAGATGAGAACAGTTACAGGAAATAAAGGAAGTTACATTTTTACAACCCTGGGTCACAGCCTGAAAAATTCAACCCTGTACTCTGGGGAAGGGGTGGGAGGGCTGCTTCCTTCCTTAGATCATAAGCTCCTTGCAGTCCGGGAGTCCCAGGGTCTGTTAACCCTAAAATCTATGTTAGTGATGGCCTGGGCATGGTTGGCACTATGGAGCAGGGTCATGTGTGTTGGCAGGGCCAGCCCTGCTCATCTGCATCCCCTGATGCTAGGTACATGCACAGCACAGAAGTTGCTAGTTGAATGGACCAGAGGTAGCAGGCTCCATGGTTGGCTAAGGGACAAGCTGGAGAGAAACAGCTGTGCCAAGTACCTGGCTCCACTGGAGAAAAGAACAGTTCCATTGACGATGATCTGAAGTCCATCCTGGAGGCCCCCTTTGATTATCCCGGAGAAGGGGACGGCCTGCAGGGAGGAAATGGTGGAGACCAGTCAGTCGGCCTGTTCCTCTGTTGGTTCTGTAAGCACTTGCTAATAATGGCAGGCCTGTGTGTCTTGAGAACTGTGCTAGGTGCAAAGGGTGTGGCTGTGAACTAGACAGATCACGTCTCTCAGCCTCATAGATCAAACAAGGAAGTGGACATTAATCCAGAGTAGTGGTGAGAGGCCTAAAGCATCAAAGGGACCCACCAACCTATTCTGGAGGGTAAGCCCTTCCACTCACCTGAGAAGGCCAAGAAGGCAACCCCACTACCCCCAAAGAACAGTGGTGACCAAGACCTTAACCCTTCCAGCCACCTCTAGGGCACCTCTCCCTGATCCCTATGTGCCATGGGACTGCCTCCTTCTCTACTCCTGCTCTTGGGCTTCCCATTCCTTCCTTCAGGCCCTCAGTTGCCTCAGGAGCCCTGGGTGATATCTCTGCTTGTCCTAGGTCCTCAGCAACCACTTTATTAAATTTTCTTATCTAGGCCTCTCCAAAGAAGCAGCAGCTGTGGTGAGGCATGCATCTCTTTTAGGCACACACCAAGTCTGAATCCTACCTAGCTCTGCTGCTCATTTTCTAAGTAATGGCGGACAGTCAATTTAACCTCTCTTTGGCAGAGTTTGCTCATCTGGAAAATAGGGATAAGCCCCATTCTACTTCATAGGATTGTTTTGATGATTTAGTGACAAAAAGTCTGCAGAAGAAACTGACACATAGTAGGGACCTATGGTGCAGTGAATTGCTTAATATGGCCTTTCTAGCTATGTGGTTCAAACCCACCAGCCACTCCTCGGAAGGAAGGTTGGGCAATCCTACTTCCGTAGTGATAACTGCCTCAGAAACCCAAGGAGGGGTCACTATGAGTCGGGTTTGACTTGATGGCACATACCAACAAACAACAAGAGCTATAGTCTATGTGACTCCCACCAAGTCATTGCATAAACCAAAACCAAACTCACTGCCATTGAGTCACATCTGACTCATAGCCACCCCTTCTTGGGTTTCTTTCTGAGCCAGTATTATTACAGAAGTAGATTGCCCAACTTTCCTTCTAAGGAGTGGCTGGTGGGTTTGAACTGCCAGCCTTCTGGTTAGCAGTCAAATGCCTTAGGCACTACACCACCAAATGTGAGGTGTGTGTGTGTATATATATATAGATAGAGAGAGTTGTTGTTGTTGTGTGCCGTGGAGTCAGACCCGACTCATAGCCACCCCTCCTTGGGTTTCTGAGGTGGTATCACTACGGAAGTAGATTGCCCAACCTTCCTTCCAAGGAGTGGTTGGTGGGTGTGAACCACCAACCTTCTGGTTAGCAATCAAGTGCCTTAGGCACTATGCTACCATAGCTCATATATATATATATATATATATCATGGATGTACTCACACCTATATATATATATAGGCTTGGCAGAGGATATTTCTACATATGTATTTGTACATGCTGCAAATATATCCATGTATATAATAGAACATACAGGAGATAAAGGTATGAAAACTTCTTAGCCATAACCAAACACCTTCAGGGACTGAGTCACTGGGCTTGGGGGTTTAGGAGCATAGTCTCAGGGAACATCTGGGTCAATCGGCATAACATAGTCCACAAAGACAATGTTCTACATCCTACTTTGATGAATACTGACTGGGGTCTTAAAAGCTTGTGAGTGGTGACCAATATGTCAGCATTGAGGCTGAGAAAGACATAGAGAGGTACATGGGCAGTACAGACAACAAATATGAACCCTTTTGCATATACAGTACTGAGTTGTCAGTGAAAGCAAACATGGGTGTATGGACGGATAGATAGGTGAACAAGCTAAACAATTAGGTATGTCTAAATGGGGAGTGTATCCAAGATCATATATAGGGTTGGCAGACAATGGGCCTATAAATTCATGTGAATGATCAGAATTCCCAGGTGTATAGTAGAGCTGACAAGGGACAAGGTTATGGTCATTGCTTGGTCACAGCCAGCTACCCAGAGGGACCGAGGAGTTGATCCTGCGGGCTTGGGACTATAGTCGCAGGGGACATCAAGCTCAATTGGCATAACATAGTATACAAAACATTGGTCCACCTCCTACTTTGGAGAGTAGTGACTGGGATCTTAAAAGCTAGCAAGCTGCCATCTAGATGCAACAACGGGTCTCTCCTCGTCAAGAAGAAAGAAGAAAACCAAAATTAATGGAAACAATCAGTCCTAGCAACTGGTACACCATCCGATCTGCAACCTATACAACTATGAGACCAGAAGAACTAGATGGTGCCCAGCTACCACTGCCATCCACTTGGAAGGGATGTAGGAGATCCTGCATAGAGAGGGAGAACAATGTGGAACAAAACTCAAAATCATTTGGAGGCAAAAAAAAAAAAAAAAGGTGGGGACCAGGTTTGCTGGTCCAATAGAGCCTGGTGGAACCACTGAGACTATGGCCCCTAGCTGCCCTTCGGGTCTGGAATTGAACCCACACCTGTGGTTTCCAGCCAAACAAAGTACAGGCATGTGAGTTAAACATTTACCTCAAGTAGACACACGCCCTGGAGAGAACAATCATGGGAGAAGGAAGGGCTGCTTATGCACAGGGAGATAGCTCAGGGTGCAGAAGAGTATGCAGGGATAGACACTGGGAAGAGGTAACTATGGGGAGGAAGTGGGAGGGGAGCTCTGGCATTGTAAATTTTGGTCAATGACATGAGACAAAGTATATGTGAACTGCTGTATGAAAAGTGAATTTACTCTGTAAATCTTCACCCAAATCAAAATAAAATTTAAAAAAAAAAAAAAAGCTTGTGAGTGGCCATCTAAGATGCAACTATTGGTTTCTCCCCGTTTGGAGCAAAGAAGAGTGAAGAAAATCAAAGACTCAAGGGAGCACTAGTCCAAAGGACTAAGGGATTATGTGAGTCACAGACTCTCCTACCCAGAAAAGAGAAGAACCAGATGGTGCCCTATTCCCGGTACCACCGTCTCTGAACAGGATCACAATTGAAGGTCCTGGACAGAATAGGAGAAAAACGTAGAACAAAATTCAAAATCATAAAAAAGACCATGCTTACTGGTCTGATACCAATTTGTGGAACCCCCAAGACTATGACCGCTAGACATCCTTCAAACCTGGAACTGAACCCATCTCCAAGATCACCTTTCAGCCAAACAATAAACAGGTCTATAAAGAGAGATCTCTGGTAGCATAGTGCCTAAGGCACTTGACTGCTAACCAGAAAGCTGGCGGTTCAAACCCACCAGCCACTCCTCGGAAGGAAGGTTGGGCAATCCTTCTTCCGTAGTGATACTGGCTCAGAAACCCAAGGAGGGGTCGCTATGAGTTGGGGCCGACTCGACAGCAAATAACAACAACAACAACAACAACATAAAGAGAGAAAATATACCCGTGAGGAACATACTCCTCAGAACAATCAACCATGTGGGGCCAAAAGGGCAGCATTTGCCCAAAAACAAAGTTCAGAGGGCAGGAAGGGGCAGGAAAGAAAGATGAATGGAAACCCAAGGAGGTAGTGGGAAGAGTGCTATTATACAAAGGGGATTGCAACTAATGTCATGAAATAAAATGGGTATAAATTATTGAATGGGATACTAATGTGCTCTGCAAACTTTCATTCAAATCACAAGAAAATGTGAAAAAAAACATAGTTCTATTTCTTAGTTGATTTTCACATCATTAATTTCTTTTCTAACATCTTCTGTAAGTCAATTCCCTACAAAAATGAAACACATGCAGGGGCCAGGCAGAAAGTATGTGTGAGCGAGATGGCCAGGTAGGACACAGTAGGGAGTGGTGGGGACTATGAAAACTATGCGTCACAGCGCTCACCCAAAAAGGCAGCCACTCAGCTTTAACCAGTTGTTGCCATACAGGCCCAGTGTTGGCAGAGCTTCCAAATTTTCAAGAAAAGATAGAAATCTGGATTTTCTTCTTTGTAAAATTTTCTAGTTTCTGTGAAAATTTTCTTTAAAAGGATAGTGTAACAATCCCTGTATTATAGAGACACATACAGACATATTTGCAAAAGAAATGATATAATATCTGGATTTGTTTTGAAATAACCCGAGGATCGAAAAGGAAGTAGGTATGGGGTATAGGTGCAGTACTGTTGGCTGTGAGCTGATAATGGTCTAAGCTGAGTGATTAAAAAAAAGAAAGAAAGAAAACCAAATCCATTGCTGTTGGGACAATTCTGACTTATAATGACCTGCATTGCGTTTCCAAATCTGTAAATCTTTAGGGAAGTAGATTGCCTCATCTTCCTCCCATGGAGCAGCTGGTGGGTTTAAATAGCTGACTTTGGGGTTAGCAGCCAAATGCCTTACCCACTACACCACCAGATTTCCCTAAACTGGGTGATAGGTACTTGCTAATTATAATACTGTTGTTGGTACTTGTTTAAATAAATTAAAACAAACATTGTACAGGTCAAACTAAAACATCCACCACCCAAATTCATTCCACATCCATCTTATTGGTCACTACTTCCTAACCTTTGTCTTGAGTTGTACTACCACACAGAACCCATGGGAAACCTACCCTCGCTCAGTATACCCAGCTGGTACTGGAAGCCCCAGTAATGCCAGGATTGCTGTTGCCATATTCAGGTAGCCTCTGACATCTACAGGCATCCGAGGAAGGCTTGTTTTGGTGGTTGCACCTTATGTTAGGTCTGATTACCATTAAATACTTTGGTGACCTCCAGCAAACCACAGTTTCTCTGCATCTCTGGATTCTCTCTGTTGTCCCTGGTCACATCAGTGGTTTGGGGGAAGCAGAGTCAATCTAATATAAATATGGACCAACATTGCTTAGTATGATTTTCAGGGTATCAGGAAGCCTGTCTTCTCTGAAAAATACTCCCTTCACCTGTTTGTTCAAGGCTGAAATGCTCTTAAGAGAAGACCAAGCCTTTCATACTATCATAACCTCATGCTTAAAATGTAAATATTCCTGTGAAGCAAGAGACCTTCACTTAAGCATATTTACACTGAAGTATAAAGAACTGACAGTAAAGCTTTATGATAGGAGGTGGATCATAAGTGCATAAAAGACATTAAGGAAATTGGAGGTGAAGGAAGAAAGAGTACAGATCATGAAGGCGGGTTAGTCATTAAGGCAACAATTTCCCCAAAAATGTTTTGAGACATTGCAATGTCTTAAATAGTGTTCCCAAATTCTGAAAAATGCAATTATCTTGAAGCAAGTATGATCACACAATAGGAACCATGGTGGTGTAGCAGTTAAGTGCTCGGCTGCTCACCAAAAGCTCAAAGTTCAAACCCACCAGCCACTCTGTGGGAGAAAGATGTGGCAGTCTGCTTCTATAAAGATTACAGCCTTAGAAACCCTATGAGGCAGTTCTACTCTGTCCTATAGGGGCTATATGAATTGGAATCGACTTGAGAGCACTAATGGGTTTAGTTTTGTTTTTTATTCTTATAATCATACACAAAATGTTCATTGCAACATTATAATAACAAAGGATTGGAAAGAGCCTAAAAGTCCACCACCAGTAGGAAAATGGTGAAATAGGTTATGGCATTGTCATACAGTGGATTCTACGTAGCCTTAAAAAGAAAAGAGAAAGAGGGGATTCTAAGCACTCATATGGACTCATGTTATTTGTATGACTAATGGGCCATATTAACCACAGCCTCCACTGCCTGAGACCAGAAAAACTAGATGGTGCCCGGCTACCCACTATCAACAGCTCTCACCAGGATCACAATAGAAGACTCTGGACAGAGTGAGATAAAAATGTAGAACAAAATGAAAAATCATTTAAAAGACCAGACTTATTGGACTGATAGAGACTGGTGAAACCCCTGCGACTATGGTTTAGATATCCTTCAAACTTAGAACTGAACCCACTCCTGGACACCACCTTACAGCCAAACAATTGTTATGTGCCGTGGAGTCATACCCAACTCATAGTGACCATTCCTTGGGTTTCCGAGGTGGTATCACTATGGAAGAAGATTGCCCCTTCTTCTTTCCAAGGAGTGGCTGGTGGGTTTGAACCGCCAGCCTTCTGGTTAGCAGTCAAGTGCCTTAGGCACTACGCTACCAGCCAAGCAATAGGCAGGCCTAAAAAAGTGAACAATAACACCCACAAGGAACGTGCTCCTCAGTACATTCAACTGTCTAAGACCAAAAAGGGCAACATTAGCAAAAAAGTAAAATTCAGAAGGCAAGAAGAGGCAGGAAAGTTGGGTGAATGAAAACAGAGAAACCAGGGTGGAAGTAGGGACAGGGCTGTCCCTTTGTGAAAGTGAAAGACACTTTCGTTCTGCGAGACACAAGAAGATGGATTTATGCACTGCTTTTATGGACCCACAGTCCTGGGCTCACCTCTTAGGTCCCTGGGTTAGTAGTTTTGACATCAGGCAAGTCACTTAACCTCTTTGGGCTCAGTTTCCTCCACAAAACAGCAGGATGGCAATGCCAGTCTGTCAGTGTTCTAAGGGGAATTACACAAAATGCCACGTGGCCCGGCCTTGACAATGGTCGCTATTTGCAGGGACAGATCAAACCCTCTGCTGGGTCAGAATTTGCTCTCTGTTCCTGTCCATACCTGGAGGCTAGCAATGTTTCCCTCCTCTCAGGAGGTCCGATAGCACAGCCAAGTCTTACAGGCCAAAGACTACCACCACGGGACACTTGTTCAGGTGCCGGTAGCGGGGAGCCCCTGCAGAGGGCAGGGTGAGGCTTTCAGCCACAGGGCTCTCCAAGCACAGAGGTACCAAGAGCCTTCTGGAGGCCAGTCTCCGATGCCCTGTGTTCTCTCTCCTTTCCTCATAACAACGCTGGGCCTTTTTAGGGCCACTCTTACAGATGAGGAAACTGAGGCACAGAAAGTTTGGGTGACTTGTCTAAGGTCACACAGCTGGTCAGCAGTAGAGCTGGAATTTGAACCCCAGAAGCCATGTTTTCAACTCTCACACATTCCTGTCTGGCTCACCAAGTGCCTCCCTGACTGTGGTTCTACCTCCCTCCTGGCTGCCAAGGAGGCAGGCCAAAAAGTGGGAGATTTCCAAGCCAGGCCCTTACCTTCTAGTAACTTCTCAGCAGAACAGGGAACCACATGACCATCTGACACAAAGTAGCATTTCAGAGGAAGTGTGAGTGGCTACCAAAGGTCAGGAAGTCAGTTGAGTGAGGCTTCATTCACCCAGCCCATGGGAGCATACAGGCACACAACAACAACAAAGGAAGCGTACAGCCATGTTTCAGGGGGAAGAAGTGTTGGCCTTCTCTTGTCTGAGCCCCCAGGACTCTGTTGTAACTCTCTGTTGCCCAGAGGATTTTGCTTCTGTCTTGAAAAATTTGGTTTCTGAGCCAAAGGATTGGAAAGTGAAACCTAGTCAGCATGATAATAAAATGTCAGAGGCTGGAGGAGCTTCCAGACAAGTCTCAGGAAAACCAGAAGGGAGTGGCAACCTGCCCAAGGGGATGTGCTCTGACCCTGAGGTGGCCACTCAGGTACTAACAGGGCCTGTCCCAGGTCTCCCAGCTGCTCCACACAGGTCCCACATCAGGAACTTCCACAGGTCAGTGATGGCTGGGAGGGATGGCTGGGAGGAAACAGGCCAGGCCAGGCAAGAGCCTCTACTGAGCTGGGCTGGAATGGGCAGCCGTAGCAGATGCCCCTCCCTCAGCCCTCTGCTGTGGCCCGTCTGCCTCTACTTCCTTCCCTGGCCCAGGGAGGGCTCTGTCAGCCCACCACTCCAGCCCCTCTGGAAGTTCTTTGCCAAGGCCAGGAGAGGCTCCTACTACAGCACCAAGGACACAAAGACCACAGACGCCTCCTGGGCCAGGAGCTGCTGCTTCTCCTTATTGCCCCAGTATTCCTCTCTCTGGAGGTGAATCAAGGCACCTTCCTTCTCTGCAACTTAGGCCAATTCAGCAAGTGGCCTCAACCTTTCATAGTCACAGCTTTTCCATGTGTGAAATGGGGATAACAGGCCTCACAGCGTTTAAACAAAGCGACCTGCAGACAGGGCCCATGCACACAGGGCAAAGTGGTGCAGAGGTTCCCCTTTGACCCCCATCCTGCAGGACAGTCTCCACTCCTCTCACTGCCCCTCTGCAAACACCCTTGTCCATCTCCCGTTGTTTACTCTGACTCACCCCTCCGGGGTGCAGACATTTCAGGAGGCCTTCACTGTTGTTCCCAGACTCCTATGCACTTACAACAAAACTCAGGGTGCGCCTACAACAAAACTCAGGGTGCGCCAGGCGCTGTCCTGAGCACTGTAGATGTGCTACCTTGCTTCATCTTTATTCCAGCCCTGAGAGCGTCATCCTCCTTTATAGATGTGGGAGCTGAGGCACAGCGTGGTGAACGTAACTTGCCTGAGTTCACACAGCTATTAAATGGCCGAACCAGGGCGACCTTCTCCAAAGTAAGAGCTCTTTACCACTCTGCTAGGTTGTTATCACTCCTAGAAGCCCTGTTTACTTCCCCTTTCATATAAACCCATCACCCGTCTAGTTATTACTCATGCCTATATGTCTTCCCTTCCTCCCGTGCCCCAGCACCTAGGACAGGACAGGCACCCTGAGGGAAATGAGGCAACTTTTGTCAGACCAATGCATGAATCACGATGATTATTATCCCTTCAGTCCCTGAACGGCACTGGTAAGACCCCTATGGAACAGAACTTATATCAGGAGTGCCCCATCTGGCATTTCTGTGCTTCATGTGTTCTCTTTGGGGCTCCCCCATTCACTGGTTCCTGCCATCCAAGAGTTGCTTCCTCAGAGACCCAGAGCTGCTTCACCATTCCATGTCTATGGCCCCAGGACTCACCGGGTTCAGGTAAGGAGGCTGGACACCGCTGAAATCCATCTCTCTGTGCCTCTGGGACTACTGCTGCTTTTCACACTAGCCAAGTAGTGCTCTGCACAGTGGGAGGACTTCACAAGGAAATAGAAACCAAAATAATTTGGCATGTATCCAAAGGGGAGGGGCCAAGAGCAAGAGGAAGTGGGTCTGAGAGAGAAAATAGGATGTTGGGGAAGGAGGGCCTAAGGTGGAGGGTGCGGGTGGGACCCGAAGAGAGGCTGAGGCATATCTAAGGTACTGCAGGTACGGCACCAACTCTGAGTGCCACTTTAAGAAGGCATCAATGAGCAGTCCCTATTAGTCATCAGTTTCTATCACCAGCTGTGAGAGATCACTGAGCAATTTAAAACTAATCCATAGGCTCTAATTTCCATAGACATGCCTCTGGGGAGAGGAAAGTTGTCACTCCCAACCTCAGCTTTTTATCCTCTCAGTGACCTTGCTTCGCACCCAAGAAAAAAACCTAATCATAGTTGGTTCACATAGATTCAAAAGTGTCTGACCACCTCAACAAGATGGAATTTTCCAGATGTTACTGCTCTTATGCTATGTGCCTATGCTCCTGAGCATGCTGGGTTATAGCGCCCAGAAAAAAACAGGACTGCTTGAAAGGGTCTGTGTGGCTGGGTGTTGCCTCGTGCACAATGCTAGAATCACCACCACCCCTAGGGGTGTAAAGCCTAGTTGGACTCATTTGTCACATAGAAAAACTGAGTCTCAAAAGCCTAATAGGCATGCCCAAGGTTACACAGCTAATTATCAGTGGCAGCTTGAGCCATAGAGGTTAAGGTACTTGGCTGCTAACTGAAAGGTTAGTTTCAAGTTCACCCAGAGGAGCCTTGGAAGAAAGGCCTGGTGATCAACTTCCAAAAAAATTAACCATTGAAAACCCTTGGAGCACAGCTGTACTCTGGCACCCATGGGATCGCCATGAGTTGGATCAACTAGACAGCAATTGGTAGTGAAGAGACGGATGAGAATTCTTAGGTTCTCAAAAAAGTATTTCTCCCTTTTAAAATCCTATCTCCCATGTCAAATAATAATAATGATAATAATCATGTAGGAAGAAATGGTTTGCAAACAGCAAAGCACCAAAATTTGCCTCCTGGAGGACAGCAGTACCACGGGAGCTTCTGGTCCCCCTCTGTCAATTTGTCTTTTTCTTTTCTCCCTCTCTTCTCTCTCTTTTTTTTTCCTGGGCTTAAGAATGGGGAAAGGAGTTGATGAGAAGTCTTGGACATGATAGAATATTCCAAGTGACATATTAAATAAACTTCCTTTAGTTCAAGCACCCAGTGAAGAGAGATGAGTTGCTTGTGGCTGACACAGAGAATAGCAGGATAGGCCAAGGGAGGAGTTGTGGGGTGGGCAGCAGTGACAACAAACTTGTTGAAGATAACCGTGGCCCTGCCGTGTGCTAAGAGAAGGCCTGGTTATCAAGCCTGGGACAGCAGCAGTCACATAGGCGCTGAATGGGGAGAAGGTGCTAGGGGGCTACATGTCTGGCTGCCCCTCTCTTCCTTTTTACACTCCCTCTAGATGCACCAGAATTTATAAGGACTAACTAGTTACACCACTGCCTTGGAGGCCCCTCCCCCTGAAGTGCTAGCCCCCCACCTGCCATCACTGCTGCGGTCATTCTGGTGTCAGCCCCCTCCCCCTGGTGACACTACTGGCTATGAATCAGAATCAGTTGGATGGCAATGGGTTTTAACTTCTTTGACATGTGTCCCTTCTGCCCCCCTCCCCCAGCCTCACTGTGCTCTGTATCCACCAGATGTTCATTGGATTTAAGAGACCGTCAGCTATGGTCTGATATTGGAGCAGAAGGGAGAGAAATAAAGAGGAATTATTTGCAATCCCTTCCAACACCAGGGAAAATGTCAGCATGGCAGTGGCTTGTGAGTCAGGATCCACTCAACAGCAGTGACTTGCTTTTGGTTTCGTTTAGTTTGTTGGGATGTGGAACAAATGGAACTCTCACTCACTGCAGGT